TATTACAGCACTAAAATAAGGTATTATTTGAATAGTTTGCTTAGAGAAACTGAATGACTTCATTTAGGACACCACTGAATAAGTGATTGTATCAGTGCAGCAAACGGTGCCCTGGAAGAGTTCGGACCCTTCAAATGGGAGAGCAATTTACTTCCAGGGAGCACCTTTGCTTTCACTGGGAATTGGGACTATAAACAAACTTACGTTTCCATTACCTTGTTTTTAATTTTATCAAAAGCTGTTTTGTTTGAAATAAACAATCCTCTAGAGCCCTTGAAATCCTAAACATATTAAGAACAAAGGAAGAGACTAGTTAAATATTTCAGTGTTATAAAATGCCAAAAAAGAAAAAAGGTGGTGGTGGGGGGTAGAAGGTTTATATGAAATATACGGAATAAGAAGGTATTTCCCCACAAGTTAAAAAATACTAGTTTGGTGTCAGTCAATAAAGCACTGCCAAAAGGGAATAAATACAAAGGCTGAAGACCTAGAAAAGTTGTGAATGACCATTACCAACATTTATCAATGTCTATTTGTAGCTCTACACGGAGAGATAATCCTTTAGCAGGTAAGCCTGTAGTAAGACATACTTTTTGTTACATATTTTGGCTCAGATCAAGGGGTCACCCAGCAATTGAGACACAGACTGCTTTCCAGTCTTAGTGTGGCGTTCTCTCCTTACTCAAGGTATTTGCTATTAGTAATTTTCTGTGAATAGTTGTTAGCCTATGTACCATAGATCAGGGTTGTTTTTTAAAGAAAAAAATAGAAATAAAAGAGGTTAAAAGTAACATACAGAAACTGCATGGTGCAATAAGAATAACAGGAAATGAGGATTCAGGGAGCCTGAGTACACACAGTGGTTCTGCCATCAGAGAAGCCAGTGATGATGTTAAGTCATTTACTCGCTTTTAGCTTAATTTATTTGGGTACTTTAAAAATAACAAGTATGAATGGATGGATGTATTTAAGTAGAACCATTATTTCAAACAAAAGTTTCCCTGGAAGCTTCAGTATACATAGAGAAAAAAAGGGGGCTACTCTTATTGAAGACAAAATGGGAGCCTGGAGTCCTGCCCAAATAACCCTCCTGTATCCTGGGGGGATGGGGAGGGGGGGTGGTATACCTCTGCAGAACCCCTAGCCTACTCAATGCACTATTTAAAACTGCTGGAATAGATGAGTGGATGTTTCCATTCTTACATTTCATGGACCAGGAAAAGTTCAAAAAGATTTCAAAAGAACATAATATCAAAAAATAAATTTAGCTTTGCTTTATGAAACTATTGCTAGCCAGAGAAAAAGATATTATAAACCAGTTTTAGGAAACACCTCCAGACCATCTCTCAGGTATATTCAAGTTCTAAAATTATATAACTTCTTCTACTCCTATTGTGAAAGAACTAACCAAAACCACTTTACCTAAAATTATCTCCTAAGACTACTATTCATTAAGTACATTAATAAAGTGTCCCAGAGTCACTAAAATTTTTAAAAGCAATAAAAGAAAACAGAAAGAGAAAATCAAGTTAAAATTTACAGTGGCTACATAACATCAACGTCAAAACATACATCATTTTAATTATTTTCATATAATTTTCCCCACGCCTAAAAAATAAAAACTATAAGCATCATCTGTAATATAAAGTCCAAGCAATGCTTAACTTTCCGGTGTTTAAGTGCCTCTGAGCTGTTTCCCACTCTTTGCTCCTTCACACTCAGTGTTCAGTTTTATCAACCACATACTTTATTTCTTTACATTTCTGTAAAATCCTTCCAGCCACCAGAGGTTGGTATAAGCACGTGAGACCATCAAAGTAACATGAGGAAATCTAGCTGGATAATGAGGTAAAGCTGTATTTCTAGGATTATGTAACCTCCCTGAATCCAAAAAGCAATGTGGTCTATTCATCATTGCTACAACTACTTTTCAGATCTCAGTTTAAAATTTCTAACTCATAAGAACACACAACATCCCATTAGCTAAGGTAAAAGTCAAATATTCTTTAGCAGTTCAAATATTTCAAGGCTAAGGAAATTTCTGATACCCAAAGACCTCTGTCTCTCAAATCACTAGACATTGGGTACCCTGAAAACTTTCTTAGGAGTTTCAACTTCCTATTTCTCTCCAACTCCTGACACTGCACATAATGTATTCTAGGCAGATCTTAGATCTATCTTTCAACAAAAAGTTGCATCAGCTTTCTGAGAGGTCCATTCCAACTTTATTTTACTGCACTCCAACTTCAAAGCAATTTTTCTTAGGAATACTTACTGTGTATTGGGAAGAGATAACCAACAAGCATCATTTATAAAATTGAGAACTCACAATATCTTTAAACTTTCTCTTTTCTGGGAAATAAAGATAATACTATCAACTTTTATTCTAACACATTTTTCCAATTTTTAAAGCAATACTCTGTGTCTTCTATGTTCCTCCTCCTATAACATGATGTTTGCTAAATGAAGCACAAAACAAGGTAGAAAACTGTTCTGTGAGTCTCCCTTTCTCACACTTCCAGTTTCTATGCATTGATTTCTTGAAATAGGTATAAATGGGTAAGAAAACACCTCCGGTGCTATAGTAAGTCTGCAAACACCACTTTCTTTCACCACTAAGGTATCTTTTAGGTATAGGTTCAAAGACTGAAGGATGCTCTAGATTGAAGCTGACCAGAAGGCCTCAGAAGACAACAGCCTCAAGTCACACAATGACTATGTTTAGACATATTAAAGAAAAGACAAAGTTTACTCTAAAACTAAGACATATCCATAATTTAAAGCGTGTGTGCGCATACACACACAATTGGAAAACCTGATAATTCATCTCATATATTTCTTTTTAGCTATCACAGAACTCTGGGCCATCACCTCTTTACAGAGTCCCTCCAACATCTTCTGGGTCTGTTTCCAAAGGGGCACCTGAAAAGCTGTAAGAGCCTCCATCCTCTGTCACTTTCATTTGTAAAGAAGCTGGGTGCAAAAAGGTTAGCCCAAGCTAATTCCTTGGCCTCCATGAGTCAGCTTGAATCTGTCACTGCTGTCAGTCCTTGGTGTGCTGAGGAATATTTGAGTCCTGTATACAACCCATCCTCTCATCTCTCTGCTAATATCACTCTTATAAGAGGAAATCGAAAAAAGAGGGAATATGTATATATCTATAGCTGATTCATTTTGCTGTATGGTAGAAACTAACACAACATTGTAAAGCAACTATACTCCAAAAAAAATTAATTAAAAAAAAAAGAGGGTTGCTGTCTCTGAGCACACACAGGGCTGTGAAATGGAGGCAGCTCGACTATTCAGAGCAATACTAAAACACCGCCTCTGTCTATTGAAAGCTCCTGGCTGAGCAGCAAAGCCATGTCAGCTGTTCTTTTCTTTGTTCCCAGTACAGTCCTTAGCACTTATACAGAAATGAGACAACCTCTTGACAAGGAAGTCCTCCTCCTTTCTTAGACATCAGGAAACAAAACACACATGACAAACAGGGGAAGGGGTGTGGAGTGGAGGGATGGGCTTGGCTTGAGAAGTTCACTTTAGAGGTCTACCCCAGTGGTAAAACCTAACTCTGACAGCCTTTACGGCTTTTCATTTCTCAGCTGGCACAGCATCAGAACCAAATACATACAGCAACTTATAGGGAAATAAAAGAAGAGGCACAAGAGGCAGGCTCAAGGGTGAGAGTAATTTCTTTCTTACAGCTTAAACCACTACAAAAGATGAAGCATACAGTGTCAACAAGTATAAAAAATAAACCAGACTTAGTAATATACACAAATATGCACAAATCACGCAAAGGAAATACAGGGTTTTCTTTTGGCTCCAGACTGTATTGATATCTTTCATTTTATAATTTCATGTGCAGAAAGAAATGAGAGCTTCTTAGTAAAATAAAATGATTTATTTTTATGCTGAACATACAATATTCATAAATATCAACTGCTTTCATTAAAGTTAAGATTTCCTTCTTAAATTTAAATTTTTCCCACTATAGTCCCTGAGATCTCATTTCCATGCCATGACAGTTCACATCTGCATTTTAAAAGCAAATGCGGAATCCACCACCTGATTTAGCAGTTAGGCTGCACACACTGTAGCTCTCGTTTTAGGGCACCTTTGAAGACAAAGTGATATTTAATACTAAATATAAGCAGTCTTTTCCTCTTACACTGAAGAGTAATTGCTTCCCACTTCACAACTATAGCATGAGTTATCATCTCTGACTTGCTCTCTAAGTGCTATGGTCAGCATGGGAAAAAATGACAAAGAACATTACGGCTTTACTCAAGGGAGTCGGATCTTTGCTAACTGCTAAGAAGAAATGATGGCTAGTCAGGCATAGCACAATGAGATACAGCATGAGAAATGACATACATTTCTGTGCCCTGGTTTTAGGAAATCATTTCTACTAAATGTCCTCAGAATGCAGAAGCTGAACTTCCTTGGTGTCAAACACACCAGATAAAAATTTTAGCTGCACATGGATGATGGTGTTTACAATTGTACATATACTTGAAAGAAACTGTACATATACACTTGCTGAAAATTTTCGTTTACAGAATACAGTGAAGGTGGGAGATACAGAGTGCTTTCCCCTAGGTTCTAGGAGTTGAAGCAACCAATACTTTCAGGGTTATCTATTAGCAAGTTGGGTTCACACAGGCTGTCTCTCTAGTCTGAAGATGACATAGAATAAAATCCTATCAGGCCTGGCCCACAGAGTCAACCATCTCCTACACTTAATACAAAACATAATGGAAAACGATGGTGAGGGTAGGAGGGCAAAGCCCAACAAACAAATTATCTTATGTATTTTTCATCCTGCACCACAGAGGAAACAAATGAATATGAGAAAGCAAATGATACACATACACGGACTTAAATCCAATTCAAATGACATGATGTATAAATAAATATAAATTGCATCTGGAAAAAAAGAGTATTTAAATTCCATTCAATGTTACAAACATTCTTCTCATTAAAATATAAACCCTTACCTTTGCTTGTTTCTTACTGGCTTCTCTTCTGGCTTCCCTTTCTTTCAGTCTTTTCTCCTACAGGAAGAGGGGGAAAATTAATAAGTTTTCATAATCATTAAGTATGTGTCAAACAGATCTGGAATCAAATTACAGTTAGACCATTTACTAGCTGTGCAGTTTGGGGCAACTTATTCACTACCTCTCATTTTCTCATCTAAACATGGAGATAACAGGAACACACATTTCATAAAGTTGGTATAAGAACTATATAAAACAACATAAATGCTTATTAGCACAATGTCTGACATATGACTGGTTCACAGTGTTGGCTATTAAAATAAAAAGGAAGAAATGCAGTAATGATTATTTCCCTTTTCCTCTAAAAGCAGAATTTATAAAGGATATGAAATCCTCATCCTTGGGGTTCTTAGAAAAGTGGCAATATTTTTCTCAAAACAAAAACAATGGAAGATTATTCTTATAAGCACCTTATTTTACTGAATTGTTTTATAATTTCCCCATTAGTTTTCCAATGATCATAAAACAGGCAGAAAATGCAGCACTAATGTTTTCAAAATAAGAAAAATAAATATGTATATTAATAAAATTCAAAACAACAAAATGAAGCTAAAGTTGAAAAAACTTTTGTTTTAAATAAAACACCTCTTTTCCTCTTCAAAAAATAAAGTGGTAAAACAATATAGAGGCTAGTCTCAATCCAGAATTCATAGCTAACTATTTTAAATTTAATGAACTACTAGATCAATGTAAAAAGTGAATAAACAGCAAATAATTCTTTCATGAAACTGCGACCATGATTCACTCTTACATTAAATATCCACTAACATGAGAATTAACAATTTTTTCAGTCTGGACAATCTATCATTATCACTATGCTTCATACATAGCTTTCTCCAGATTGAAGAACCAATTCTAATACATACTCTAGAGACAGACCTGAGGCTGCTCTGTTGCTCACAGCTCTGAGAAGGGCAAGAAACTGCTACAATCCACACTATACACCCTATCTAGGTTTACAGACTTCTTTTTAATAAAGTGAGAACATAAACGTTAAAAGTTTCAAAGGGGGTTAAGTACTAATTAATGCAAAGAGGAGGGGAGTCCAGAGAACTTATAGATTCAGTTTTTATAGCTTCAGATTGCACAGCAGGAAAGCTAAATTCTAAGTGATACTAACAAAAACTCAAATTCAGATGGCAACTGTTCATGTGTCATACCCCTGAATAATGCATAATGTTAAATTATTCTTTTCTGTGATTATTATTCTTTTTCTACACTAGTTTTGGAGAAAATGGATTACTTTGACTTCCAAATAAAACATACAACTAAAAGAGCACGTAAAACTTAAACAATGTGCAATTATACAGAGAAACATTCTAAAGATTATTTGGAAGTTCCAGGATCAAGGTCAGGAGAAAAGGAAAGATGAAGAAATCAAAACTAAGAACCTGTTGTCAAACACATTCTTTTCATTGTCAAAGAGCTTAGTAAGTGAGAGACTGATCTCAAACATGGGTCTCCGTATGCCAAGTCTAGTGCCTTTTTTGGATACATTATAAAAAAAATTAAAAGTCAGGATTTGGAGAATTTAACAGGTGTGACTTTAATAACAGAAAAAAATAAACTTACTATTATTTTACCAAGCAGCCAATGAATGCAATAGTTATTAAGATACTATACATGAACTGGTTCTCTAATGAGCTTATGAGAGTTGTTCTGCCACTAAAGTGAAGTAATTTCAGTGTGTCCTCATTTGTGGGAGGGGGAAAAAGTTTATGGATGGCAGTTTGTAAACATCTGCACCCAAATTTTTCACAAAAGTTGACACCAATTACTGATTCTCTATGAGTATTAGCAGACTACAAAATAAATGAAAGTAGCAAAATAATATTAAAGAAAAAAATTTTAAACCACTGACCATAATTATGCTTAGCTTGAGAGGTGGCTTTAGTTTGTGGATGGATGTATTTGTAATTTTCTCTCTCTTCTCTCTTTCACACATACACAATTTAGTTTCATTTTCCACACAAAGTTTTCATGTATGGAAAGTAAAATTAAGCAGAACAGTATTTTATGTTAGTCTACAAAGATCACAGTAACTTTTTTTTTTTTTTTTTTTTTTTTCGGTACGCAGGCCTCTCACTGCTGTGGCCTCTCCCGTTGTGGAGCACAGGCTCCAGACGCGCAGGCCCAGCGGCCATGGCTCACGGGCCCAGCCGCTCCACGGCATGTGGGATCCTCCCGGACCAGGGCACGAACCCGTGTCCCCTGCATCAGCAGGCGGACTCTCAACCACTGCGCCACCAGGGAAGCCCCACAGTAACTTTTGAGTGTTGCACTGCTTAAACTAATTTTAAAACTACAGCTACATAAAATGTCAAATAACTAGAGAGTGATAAAACTTTACTTTTATACATATATATCTGTTCATTAGCACATTATTGCTATCATTATTTTCTTACTAACAGTAGAAGCACTGAATTATTAAGGATCAGCAGTGTGCTAAGCATTTTACATATATTTTTAATTCTATGTAACAAAACTTTTGAGGTATTATCATTCCCATCTTATAGATGAAAAAGTTGAAGATCAAAGTGATGAAGTAACTTTCCTGATGTCACACAGCCAGTGTGATAGAGCTGAGACTAAAATTGGGTCTATGGAGTCAACACCACATGGAGTCAACTCCCTCAACTCCAGCACACGTCTATACCTCTTCTCTCCTCCATGAGAAAGTTTACGCAGCTTTGTTAGATGAACAGTTTTTTTTTGTTTGTTTGTTTGTTTTTGCGGTATGCGGGTCTCTCACTGTTGTGGCCTCTCCCGTTGCAGAACACAGGCTCCAGACGCGCAGGCTCAGCGGCCATGGCTCACGGGCCTAGCCGCTCCGCGGCATGTGGGATCTTCCCAGACCGGGGCACGAACCCGTGTCCCCGCACTGGCAGGCGGACTCTCAACCACTGTGCCACCAGGGAAGCCCAGATGAACAGTTTTTATCTTAACAACATGTTTCAGCCAAATGTTGCATTTCCTTTTATTATTAATAATGGTCGGTTACCATATGGGTCTTTCATCCTGAGAGCATTTTTTTCCTGATAGCATTTTATGTACACTATTTAATTAATTTTTGCCTGTTTCCTGTCCAGAACAAACAGATAATGAACCACATTTAACAGTCACACAAATTGTTGTTGTATTTATTCAGTAACTGGCCTTCTCCCAACACAATAGAGCATCTGAAAATGGCACTTCAAAGTTCCAAAGAATAACCTCAATATGTTCACATCAGACAAACTCTCTCTAAACAAGTAAACGCAATCTCTCTTTTGCGGCTTTTCATCTAGCCACTTTAATCAGAGCAGAAAAAATATATTAACAAATTTCTACTACTATTGAACACCAGTATTGACTCATTATAGTCAATGAAGAATATTTTAAACTTCAAAATTTAAATTGGCTATCAGAGTTCACATGTGCATGCAAGTAGAATAATTTTTCCTTTTAAGATTTCTGCCACAGGTCTTAGGTGGATGAGGGATATTCAAAACCTGTAAAATGTGAAATGAACATGACCAGGACATGAAAATGAAGTATAATAAAAAGAACAAACTTTCAATATTGGGTGAAACAAAAAGAAAATTAGAAAACTTCTCTTTCTTATCTTAAAAAGCTATATTAGCACTCTATCTGAAAAGAGGAAAGAGTGAACATTAGTCTTTAAACAGAGGAGAATAGGAAATAGAATTATGATAATCCAAAATTTGGGAAATGGATATAGGGAAGAAAGTACAATTTCTTCTTTTGCTAAGGCAGGAAAAGGGTTCTTTTCTTAAAAGAAGAGTATGTGAATCATAAATGCGATGTAAAAATAAAACGTTGAATTACAATGACTAGGGGAAAAATATAATTGAATTTTATTAGATTCAGTAACCGAGGTTCCTCACCCCCCCACACACACTTAATTTTTGGTGGTTTAAATGCTTTAAATCCTTTCTTTTCCTATTTCATTTTTTAGGATTGGTACCAAAAGGTATTTTATGCCAACAAAAAGATGGCACAATTTTATGTTTAGTTCTGCCATGCTACAAATGATTAAGTATAAGAAGATCATGAAATTCAATAAAAAAAATCAAATTCAAAAGAAAACAGAAAAATTACATTTCAAAGTACAAAATACTCCTTTATAGATGTTACTATATGTCTTTTGGCTTCTCACACACTACAGGTCCTTAGCTTCCAGAAAAGAAAGTACCATGAAATATGAATTTCAACATCAGTCAGGACTACGTATTTAAACCATTTTCATTCCATGGTGCTTGGAAATCTGTAGATTTAGAAATCAATATTTTTCAGGAGCTGGTGGAAGCATATAACCTATCTGAATGAGTCTCAGGCAACTGTGTCAGTTTGGTAAGGAATGGAGTTCCCAGCTGTCACATAAAGAAGTAGGGGACATCAATCCTCATTTCAGTATTACAGGAACCTCTTTTTCAGGGAAGAAAACTGGCTCAACAAAAGTGAGTAAAAGAATGATTACAAGGATTTTTGGCCCTGAAGATACCCCCTGCCCTCCAAGAACAAAATCCCAGTAAGCCTAAATCCCTCCTGGGAATGAAGAACACAACAAGGTTCTCTGATCTGTTACCTGTTCTACAGAGTTTCATCTGAACAACATAAAAAATTGCGCTTCCATATATAAATCTATAACAACTACAGTAAGGATATGAAGACAGTGAGAAAAACAAATTTACACAGAAACACCGATTCACTAATCAATTCCTTCAAACATTTGCTGAGCTACTATGTTCCAGGTCCCGTGGTGGGGTTTGGGTATATAGGGATGGGCAAAACAGACACAGCCTAGCTTCCCCTCATCTTTGTAGTCCATGACCTAATCTTGTCAGATCCCTGAATTCCATTAGCACCAAACTCTGCCCCTGCTCCTCAACCTCTCCAGCTACTGACCATCAATCTAACCACCACCCCACCTCTCAAACAACATATGGTGTTTTTTTTTTTAAAAAATCCACCAAACAAAGAACTTAACAATAAAA